CTGAGGCTGTGCTGGAGACTCCTCTAACTGGAGGTGTTAGCATGGACCAGCACTGAGGTTGTGCTGGAGACTCCTCTAACTGGAGGTGTTAGCATGGACCAGCACTGAGGTTGTGCTGGAGACTCCTCTAACTGGAGGTGTTAGCATGGACCAGCACTGAGGTTGTGCTGGAGACTCCTCTAACTGGAGGTGTTAGCATGGACCAGCACTGAGGTTGTGCTGGAGACTCCTCTAACTGGAGGTGTTAGCATGGACCAGCACTGAGGTTGTGCTGGAGACTCCTCTAACTGGAGGTGTTAGCATGGACCACACTGAGTTTGCTGGAGACTCCTCTAACTGAGGTGTTAGCATGGACCAGCACTGAGTTGTGCTGGAGATCCTCTAACTGGAGGTGTTAGCAGGACCAGCACTTGAGGTTGTGCTGGAGACTCATCTAACTGAGTGTTAGTATGGACCAGCACTGAGTTGTGCTGAGAACTCTCTAACTGGTGTTAGCATGGACCAGCACTGAGGTGTGGAGACTCCTCTAACTGAGGTGTTTATTGACAGCACATGAGTTGTGCTGGAGATCCTCTAACTGGAGGTTAGCATGGACCAGCACTGAGGCTGTGCTGGAGACTCCCTAACTGGAGGTGTTAGTATGGACCAGCACTGAGTTTGCTGGAGACTCCTCTAACTGGAGGGTTAGCATGGACCAGCACTGAGTTGTGCTGGAGACTCCTCTAACTGGACGGTAGTTAGATGGACCACATGAGGTTGTGCTGGAACTCCTCTAACTGAGTGTGTTAGCATGGACCACACTGATGTTGTGCTGGAGACTCCTACTAACTGGAGGTGTTAGCATGGACCAGCACTGAGGTTGTGCATGGAGACTCCTCTATGAGTGTTAGCATGGACCACACTGAGGTTGTGCTGAGAGCATCTCTAACTGGAGGTGTTAGCATGGACAGCACTGAGGGTGTGCTGAGACTCATTCTAACGGGGTGTTAGTATGGACCAGCACTGAGTTGTGCTGGAGACTCCTCTAACTGAGTTGGTTAGCATGGACAGCACTGAGGTTGTGCTGAGACCCTCTAACTGGAGTGTTGTATGGACCAGCACTGAGGTTGTGTCGGAGACTCCTCTAACTGGAGGTGTTAGCATGACCAGCACTGAGGTTGTGCTGGAGACTCCTCTAACTGGAGGTGTTAGCATGGACCAGCACTGAGGTTGTGCTGGAGACTCCTCTAACTGGAGGTGTTAGCATGGACCAGCACTGAGGTTGTGCTGGAGACTCCTCTAACTGGAGGTGTTAGCATGGACCAGCACTGAGGTTGTGCTGGAGACTCCTCTAACTGGAGGTATTAGCATGGACCAGCACTGAGGTTGTGCTGGAGACTCCTCTAACTGGAGGTGTTAGCATGAACCAGCACTGAGGTTGTGCTGGAGACTCCTCTAACTGGAGGTGTTAGCATGGACCAGCACTAGGTTGTGCTGGAGACTCCTCTAACTGGAGGTGTTAGCATGGACCAGCACTGAGGTTGTGCTGGAGACTCCTCTAACTGGAGGTATTAGCATGAACCAGCACTGAGGTTGTGCTGGAGACTCCTCTAACTGGAGGTGTTAGCATGGACCAGCACTGAGGTTGTGCTGGAGACTCCTCTAACTGGAGGTGTTAGCATGGACCAGCACTGAGGTTGTGCTGGAGACTCCTCTAACTGGAGGTGTTAGCATGGACCAGCACTGAGGTTGTGCTGGAGACTCCTCTAACTGGAGGTGTTAGCATGGACCAGCACTGAGGTTGTGCTGGAGACTCCTCTAACTGGAGGTATTAGCATGGACCAGCACTGAGGTTGTGCTGGAGACTCCTCTAACTGGAGGTGTTAGCATGAACCAGCACTGAGGTTGTGCTGGAGACTCCTCTAACTGGAGGTGTTAGTATGGACCAGCACTGATTTTGTGCTGGAGAATCCTCTAACTGGAGGTGTTAGCATGGACCACCACTGAGGTTGTGCTGGAGACTCCTCTAACTGGAGGTGTTAGCATGGACCAGCACTGAGGTTGTGTGCTGGAGACTCCTCTAACTGGAGATGTTAGCATGGACCAGCACTGAGGTTGTGCTGGAGACTCCTCTAACTGGAGGTGTTAGCATGGACCAGCACTGAGGTTGTGCTGGAGACTCATCTAACTGGAGGTGTTAGCATGGACCAGCACTGAGGTTGTGCTGGAAGATGTCTTTTTAAAATCTTGCACCACACTAGATGGTGGTGGCTGTCCAGCATGTTAGTAGCTGTTGTTAGGCATGGTTGTCAAGCTATTAATTTGATCTAAATCTAACAACTAACTACTAAGCTATTTTTTACAATGCTATGGTTTAACATGTGTCCTTCCATAGGAGAATAACCTGAGTGAATTTCATTAAGAACAATTTATTGGTTTCTGTGATATAAAGAGGATAACAAAAGTCTTTCTGAAAATCACTAACGTAGTCTAAATACTGTTTTTAAATCACACTAACCTACGGGACTCACCCGCCAAGTATCACTAACAGACTCTCTTATATTGACCGTATTTGACTGGATTCATATTTAGCCTTGTTTTATCATATACACATGTATACATATACAAACGAATGTATTCACATGCATATGTACATACATACACATGTATATATAAACAAAATGCATGCATGGAAGCATGCTTATCCCCACACAAACATATGCTTAAGCATACATATGCACAAGCATACGTAAGCACAGCTATACATTCACGTCTTTATACATATCCCTCTCATGTTGAGCTCTCAGTTATTGGCTAGCTCACATTACAAAAAAAGAATTCTTAATTAATTTTGATCTAATCAGACACATTATTCAGGTCGTTAATATAAAATTTTGAGAAACTTCCTTAAATACTCAAATATCAGTCAATGAAGTTCAGAAAAATGTGTTTAGCAAAGGTTCGACACTTTGAAGTTAGCCTTGAGGACGCGTGCCTTCCTCCTGATTAGATCTTATCTTCTCTTCCTTTGGCCTAACCTGATTACCTTCCATTCCTCGTGTGCTATATCACCTTTGTATTATATTTGGCAAAATTACCGACCATATGTTACATAAATGGACACATGAGCAGATAACGATACACTGCCGTTATGTTTGAGAAAGGCAGCCATAATATGTCTCATTATTTACTCTTGTGAACATTTATCCTAAGACGAAGAGCCCTTCCTGGTTTAGCTCTTCCCCGTGAAAATAATAACACACCCTTTTATTGTATAACAATTCTGACTTTTACTAATGATAAGAGTTACTCTGGTATGTGCTAACGCACGTCAACAATTCATTGCAATTGATACAGAATCTGTGACTGTGATGAGAGTCTACTGCTGTTATCATTCAATGTTATGCAGGTTACTGCATAAATATGGTGATAATCTGCATATAATGTAAGGAGTTTATATTGTACGGAACTGGTGCTTCATAAATGTAAAAATAAGGTCGGCACTTAAGTGGGCACGTATTCGACAAGGCAAGTGGGACGTATTAAACGAAATGGAGTGACGTCATTAGCGTCACTAGGAAGTTAGTCCCTGGAAAGATGTCGTGAGGCCAGTTTGGTTAAGCAGTGTGTGTGTGTGTGTGTGTGTGTGTATGTGTGCGTGTGTGTGTGTGTGTGTGTGTGTGTGTGTGTGTGTGTGTGTGTGTGTGTGTGCGTGTGTGTGTGTGTGTGTGTACTCACCTATTTGTACTCACCTATTTGTGGTTGCAGGGGTCGAGTCCTAGCTCCTGGCCCCGCCTCTTCACCGGTTGCTACTAGGCCCTCTCTCTCCCCGCTCCATGAGCTTTATCAAACCTCGTCTTAAAACTGTGTATGGTTCCTGCCTCCACTACGTCATTTTCTAGGCTATTCCACTGCCTTACAACTCTATGACTGAAGAATATACTTCCTACTATCTCTCTGACTCATTTGTGTCTTCAACTTCCAATTGTGGCCTCTTGTTTCTGTGTCCCCTCCCTGGAACATCCTGTCTTTGTCCACCTTGTCTATTCCACGCAGTAATTTTATAATGTCGATTATCATGTCTCCCCTGACCCTCCTGTCCCCAGTGTGTGTACCAGGCCGATTTCTCTTAATCTTCCCTTAATCTTTGTGTGTGTGGCGTGGTGTGTGTGTGTGTTGTGTGTGTGTGTGTGTGTGTGTGTGTGTGTGTGTGTGTGTGTGTGTGTGTGTGTGTGTGTGTGTGTGGTGTGTGTGTGTGTGTGTGTGTGTGTGTGTGTGTGTGTGTGTGTGTGTGTGTGTGTGTGTGTGTGTGTGTGTGTGTGTGTGTGTGTGTGAGTCGTGGCGAGCACAGAAATCAGTTTTTAACTGCGGGTTGGAAGCTGGGAGGTGGGGGAGGGGGATATGGAGACCTACTGCTGATAGAAAATGTAATTTTCATATGGCCTAACTTTAATTAACTAGTATTAGTGCACTAGTGGGTTATTTTGCAGTATCTGAAATGTGTTAACGGCAGGTTTTGTGTAGTATATGTTATATAGAATATATGTATTTTTTCTAATAAGTATTGACACCCTGTTTAACATTCTGTGTAGATGTTTATGAAATATGAGTAGACTTTTTAAGGTGACTTATTTTTAAATAACTTTATGTTTACCCCTAGACGGGCACTTCAACCCCCAAGGCTCCATCTTAACTTCGTAACATTCAGCTACAAGTGATCTTGACTCCCTTAAAAATAGAACTTAAAATTTATTATCAACATTAAGTTTCAGAGTTCTCATGCTTGGTTCGATTATATTTCTCTTAAGCACAGACCTGCATGATACAAGTGGTATCTGTCAATCACAGACCTGCATGATACAAGTGGTATCTGTCAATCACAGACCTGCATGATACAAGTGGTATCTGTCAATCACAGACCTGCATGATACAAGTGGTATCTGTCAATCACAGACCTGCATGATACAAGTGGTATCTGCCATTTAAGAGTGTTAAGGTTATGCTGTCTCTGCCACAGGTGATGTGAGATGATGGAGGGGGTAACGCGGGGGGCAGTAAGCTTGGAGAGCCTCTGCCTGGTGGCCATCCTCACGCTGCTCTGCTGCTGCTGCTGCTGTACCCAGGTCCAAGGAAGCGAGTAAGTGCTTACTTCTCTTTTCGCTGCCATCCCAATTGCTTTTCTTGTCTATAGGTAATTACTGCACGGATTTTTTTTTCTGCTAACAATTTACGAACCTTTGCTTGTAAATATCGTCTAAAGAGCAATAGATTTGTCCTCTCATGACGTCCTGTTATTTTATTCGACGGCTCGATCCCAGTCTAAGAATTTTTTGTACGATTAAAGTCTTGTGAGCTACTTTCTGTCTTAGTAGTTTTTCTCAAGATACACCTCCAGTACTTCGGTACCACATGTCCCAAAGTGGTTGGGCCACTTGCCTTGATTCTTATTCTTCCCCTCCTTCCCATCCTTTTCCAGTTATTTCCATCCTTCCTTATTCTTCTTCCTTCCCATCTCACGACAGCTCTCGTCGTCTTCTTCGATTCGATTCGATTCTCAAGACAGCTGTATTACTGAAGTTAGGTTGACCAGTTATTCTAGCTATGTGATGGTATCTCCTGATCTACTTGCTCTCTCGGCAATTCCTCTTATTTCTCTGTTGTCATATTTTCATCTCTCCTGTTTCACTTCACCTGTTTCAAGGATGCTGAGTTATGAGTGCCATACTTCTCCTTTTTTGTAGCTGATAAAAACACACAGGCAATAATTGTAAACTTTATTAATACGACGTTTCGCCCGCGCAGCAGGTTTCGTGATATTTGATAAAGCCTCCTGCTCAGGCGAAACGTCATCGTAATAAAACACTCAATTTTTGCTTGCGTCTTTATCAACTAAATCTTGTCGGTTTTTGCACACCAATGTTTTTATTGTAGTCTTCCTGTATAGGTCTTCACATAACGTGACTTTCACTGTCTCACTTTGACTAAAAACGTTCACATATTGTACTTTGTCTCATACTCTTTCTCTCCCTGCATCTCACCGCTTTGTTTTGTTTATATAATCACGCCGCTGCTTCAGTTCCGTTTCGGTTTCGCTTGCCCCTTTTTTTTTAATTTTGATAACCACTCTCAATTTCATCTTTATCCTAAAAGTATTAAAGTTACAATACCGTGACCAGAACAATATATAGATAACCCATACATAGGAGAAAGGAGCTTACGACAACTATTACAACCCAGGATTCCAAATGGCCTGTTACCCCGGGTGTAATGGGAGCAAATAAACACAGTAGAAAAAGTTTAGACTTATATTATCCTTCACCAATTTATAACAGCAATATGTACACTATGTACAGTGATAAGTATAGTGCACTCCACGGTAAGCAAAGCAGAAATAGAAGCCACAAGATAGCAGACCGTGCTTCAACCAGCTCTAGAATGGGAATGACAAGGGCAGACAGGAGAGCGGTACCCACATAACCTCTGCGATTGCCAAAACCATCTTCTTATTGGCTAGAACCTGGTCACTAGTTGAACGACGGGGCCCCATCATCAACTCTTAGCAACCTGGTTCGCTGGTTGGGGGAGATAACCTGTAAATGAGGGTGTGTACGTGCGCCGAATAAAGGTTACGTACTCTTTGCATGCCACAACAACGCTTCGGTCCGACTTGGACCATTTACAAAGTCACACTAACATAAAAGAGTGAGGGAATCACATATACTGCGGGTTAATTGTGCATCATCTCTATCCTATATTTTTTTGGCTAGTCTTTCTACCAGTGCTCGTCACTTTTTCCTCATAGGTGTATTTGTGCCTGTGAACTCACCTCGTTGTGCTTGCAGAGGTGGAATCACAACTCCTGGCTCCGACTATTTACTGTCACCGATCAGCTTAACATACGTTTTGTCTCTGGGGCCCAATCTTATCAAATCTTAAATCTGTCAGGGAAAAGATAACTGCTAGGCTTCCCTGTGGAAAATGTTAATGGAAAAATAAACCCTTTTGGTGAAAAAAAAAGTGAGAACAGAAGAGAAGAATGAAGAGGAAAGACTTTAGGTGATGAAATAGAAAAGTTAAGAGAATTCCCGAAACAGATGGTGCCACATACAGCTCCTCTGGAGTGTACTTAAGACCCTACCAATCCGAGTACAGTCACAGACACAATCACCAAAATTAGAAACAGCTACAATATCTTAGAAGTATCAGCAAGAATCATTCATCTTAAGACTTCACAACTTCACACCATTGCTACCATTTGATATATATGATAATTTTGATCATTGTTAATGTATCTTTTGTTTTCAACCCACTCATCTCACGTTTTTCACCTGTTGTTTCACCCCACTATATATACACTCATTGTTCTGTCCTGGTATGCACAGTGTGCCTTGATAAACCTTCCGGCGAGCAAAGCGTACCTTAAATATAATATCCAAACCTTAGAAAGCTATCCATTTACCTAAATATAATAGGTATACTCACACCCACATGCAAAACGAAAGTAAATGTTTTACTAATACATCAACCTCGACACCATACACCATACATGGGCTGGCAGATTTAAATCTTACTTTGATTTATTTGCACATTAAGTAGTCCAGTGGTGTTAATGCAGCATATCATCCCACATCTCCAAGAACAGCATGTCTTTACTCTAAGTTGTCCTGGCCACTGCTTAATCCTACGTCCTTTCACCAGGTTCTTCATGGAGTCCTCAGATAAGGAGATCCTAGACTTCCTCCTACACAAAAGCAGATATGACAAGAGAGTAAGACCTCCTGTTAAAGGTGAGTGAATGGATGTTATCCATCTTAATATGGGTGGAAGGTTGATAAAACGCAACCACTCACGGAGTAATAAACAATATATATAATACCGAAAAAAAATGTCTTTTTTAAACATTTACTTAATTAGTACGTATTCTCTCTTAATTATTCGGATTACACCACTGCTCCTTGCAGAGATGTGTACAATGGATTCTACTCTTGCTATGATTAATGCTGCTACTACTACTACTACTACTACTACTACTACTACTACTACTACTACTACTACTACTGCTGCTGCTGCTGCTACTACTACTGCTACTGCTGCTACTACTACTACTACTACTACTGTTACTACTTCTGCTATTACTATTACTACTAATACTACCAAATTTTAATTTCCTTGCCTCGTCCAGAGCGTCCTGGTGCAGTTGCTGAATTGTTGAGAGGATATATCCTAATTGATATTTTGAAGTCACAATCCGAAGCAATAACGTATTTCTAGTTAAGTCACCCTATGACACAAGATGACATGACACCGTGGATGCACTCAGAGTGAATTAAATTGGTATAGTTGACATACTGAACATTTTGCATAATGATACAGATCAGAAAAGTTACGCTGAAGCAGAAGCTAGAAATATTTCATTTTGAATGTGTAAACTAGAATTGTTTTTTAGTCTTTATTCTTGACTGATGTTTTGGAAAACATGTACCGATTTGATCTACAGCTGCAAACTGAAGGATTTATACCCTAAGCAGAAGAAAGTGAAGATAAGACTTGATCAGAGAATAAATCTCATTATCGACCTGAAGAGAAACGAAAAGAAAAAAGAAATTGATAAAACATTTGCATTTGAGCAATCATTCACCCTAGAAGAGAAATTATGGCACATAAGCGTAAGTACACTGAGCTCTCTTTTTTTAACAACAAGAATGACGACTAAGAAAAGCATCCAAAACATGACTGGACACAATTGGCCACAGGTCAAGCATCTTGTGCGACACCTTGTCACTAAAACCTCACTGCCTACAGTGCCAAGAACCATCTATACTTTGTAAGGGGCCCCTGCTACTTTAATATGGCGTTGGTCCAAAGAGTGACTTAATAAGAAACATTAAAGTGACTTAGAGGAAGAGATCAAAATTAATGTATCCTTTACGATATGAACTATGAATCAGTCATCTTCAGAGTCAAAGATATAGCTAAAGTTTATTTAATAAATTCTCCCAGTGTCGACATTGCTTTCAGGATGTTCCTGGCAATACCATGTTAGACCTAAGAAGAAGAAAGTTGCCCTTCAAAACTCATCAAGAACACATCGAGATGCGCATGAATGCATTGAGTCCAATCAGTTTTGAATATGATTTTAATTAGAAAATAGATATTTCTCTATTAATAAAGAAGTTTGCTGCTTCATAAATTCAGAAGTTGAAAACGTGCAACATAGTCTCGTGTCACCTTGTCACAAATGTACTTGTAATATTAAAACCAGTTTTTTTTAGCATAGCAAAGTTGTTTATAATACCATTACAAACCACAAGGAAAGTTCTCCCGAAATCTTAATCCTTAGAGACGCCAGAGGGATTTAATTCACCTTTGCAAGAATTTTTGTTAGTGGATTTGGGTCTGAGAAGAAAAAGAATAAGATGAAGATTGAGACACTTATGCAGCATATGGGAATCTTTATTCAGGAAACGTTTCGCCACGCAGTGGCTTCATCAGTCCAATACAAAGAGGAAGGCGTAAGGAGAGGAGGAGTATGAGGTAATCAGTCCCTCAGCCTGGAGTCGATGTGTTCAGTCCATCAATCTTGTAGAATGTACAGCATAGGGCCGTAGATGTGGCTTATATACTGTAGTGAGGTGAGGTGAAGCAGGCGGAGGCGGGGTCATAGTGGTACCATCCACTAGTCGAAGTAGGTCTTCGTCCAAAGGTTGAACAAGTGTTGAAGAATTCTTACGCCTTCCTCTTTGTATTGGACTGATGAAGCCACTGCGTGGCGAAACGTTTCCTGAATAAAGATTCCCATATGCTGCATAAGTGACTTAAGAAATCGTAATGACACGATTGCAAATAAACCGCTAGCTGGTCTAGTGGCTAACGCGACGGGCTGGAGTTTTGAGACTCTATGACCGCGGGTTCAATCCCGGCCGGGGGTATGGTTTTTTTTGCTGCATAAGTGTCTCAATCTTCAACTTGTCGGTTTTTCAAACCATTCATCACAACTGTCAGACACTGCAGCATCATGGGATCTTGTTACAAAAAATTCTTCAACACTTGTTCAACCTTTGGACGAAGACCTACTTCGACTAGTGGATGGTACCACTATGACCCCGCCTCCGCCTGCTTCACCTCACCTCACTACAGTATATAAGCCACATCTACGGCCCTATGCTGTACATTCTAAAAGATTGATGGACTGAACACATCGACTCCAGGCTGAGGGACTGATTACCTCATACTCCTCCTCTCCTTACGCCTTCCTCTTTGTATTGCACTGATGAAGCCACTGCGTGGCGAAACGTTTCCTGAATAAAGATTCCCATATGCTGCATAAGTGTCTCAATCTTCAACTTGTCGGTTTTTCAAACTATTCATCACAGAATAAGATGAGCCAGTAGGCCTGCTGCAGTCTTCTTTCTCTCTCATGTTCCTATATTCCTTCACTCATTCCCCCTCAAGGAAGGTTCCTTGATGTTGGTGAGGGGCTCTTGATTTAGGGAATTGGATCTGTGCTCCAGTTCCCCGAATTAAGCCTGAATGCCTTCCACATCCCCCCCCCAGGCGCTGTATAATCCTCCGGGTTTAGCGCTTCCCCCTTGATTATAATAATAATAATAATCCTTCACTCATTCGTGTGTGCATATGCGCGTGTGTACTTGTTATGTTGCTAATTTGTATATCTTTCCATTGGTCAGTGTATATTAACTACTCCACACACTTGACAAGTTAGATAACATAAGAACATAAGAACATAAGAAAGGAAGAACACTGCAGGAGGCCTGTTGTCCCATACTAGGCAGGTCCTTTACAATTCATCCCACTAACAAAACATTTGCCCAACCCAATTTTCAATGCTACCCAAGAAATAAGCTCTGATGTGAAAGTCCCACTCAAATCCAACCCCTCCCACTCATGTACTTATCCAACCTAGATTTGAAACTACCCAAAGTCCCAGCCTCAATAACCCAACTAGGTAGACTGTTCCACTCATCAACTACCCTATTTCCAAACCAATACTTTCCTATGTCCTTTCTAAATCTAAACTTATCTAATTTAAATCCATTACTGCGGGTTCTCTCTTGGAGAGACATCCTCAAGACCTTATTAATATCCCCTTTATTAATACCTATCTTCCACTTATACACTTCGATCAGGTCTCCCCTCATTCTTCGTCTAACAAGTGAATGTAACTTAAGAGTCTTCAATCTTCTTCATAAGGAAGATTTCTAATGCTATGTATTAATTTAGTCATCCTACGCTGAATGTTTTCTAACGAATTTACGTCCATTCTGTAATATGGAAACCAGAACTGAGCTGCATAATCTAGGTGAGGCCTTACTAATGATGTATAAAGCTGCAGTATGACCTCTGCCCTTCTGTTGCTTACACTTCTTGATATAAATCCCAGTAATCTATTTGCCTTATTACGTACGCTTAGGCATTGCTGTCTTGGTTTAAGGTTGCTGCTCACCATAACCCCCAAGTCCTTTTCGCAATCTGTATGGCTAAGTTCTACATCATTTAACTTATAAGTACTAGGGTTATGGGCACTCCCAAGCTTCAGAACCTTGTATTTATCTACATTATCTGCCACTTTTCTGACCAAGAATAGAGTTTGTTTAAATCCTCCTGAAGTTCCATAACATCTACGTTTGAATCAATTATCCTACCTATCTTTGTGTCACCGGCGAATTTGCTCATATCACTAGTAATTCCCTCATCAAGATCATTGATATATATTATAAACAACAACGGGCCCAAGACTGATCCCTGTGGAACGCCACTTGTTACAGATTCCCACTCGGATTTAACCCCATTTATGGACACTCTCTGCGTCCTGTCAGTGAGCCATGACTCGATCCACGAGAGCACTTTTCCCTCAATGTCATGAGCTGCCACTTTCTTTAACAGTCTATGGTGCGGAACTCTATCAAAAGCCTTACTAAAATCTAAGTAAATAATATCAAATTCTTTATCATGGTCAACAGCCTCAAAAGCTTTACTGAAGAAAGTTAATAAATTAGTTAGACAAGACCGGCCTCTTGTGAATCCATGCTGAGTATCATTAATCAAGCTATGCTTATCGAGATGGCTACTTATAATCTCAGCTATAATTGACTCGAGTAATTTGCCTACAGTTGAGGTCAGGTTTATTGGGCGGTAATTTGACGGTAACGACTTGTCCCCTGTTTTAAAAATAGGAATTACATTAGCCATCTTCCACATATCAGACACTACACCTGTTTGAAGAGATAAATTAAAAATATTAGTTAATGGTTCACAGAGTTCCATTTTGCATTCCTTAAGAACCCTTGAAAAAACCTCATCAGGACCTGGCGACTTATTTTGCTTCAGTCTGTCTATCTGCTTCACAACCATTTCACTAGTGACCTGTGATGTTACATAATTTATCTTCTTCTAGTCCATTATAAAAATTAATTACTGGAATATTGTTAGTGTCTTCCTGTGTAAAAACTGAGAGAAAATAATTATTTAAAATCGAGCACATTTCATTCTCTTTGTCAGTAAGGTGCCCATAGTTATTTTTAAGGGGACCTATCTTATCTCTAACTTTTGTTCTATAGACCTGGAAAAAACTTTTTGGGTTAGTTTTAGAATCCCTAGCAACTTTAATTTCATAGTCCCTTTTAGCTTTTCTTATCCCCTTTATAATGTCCCTCTTAATGTCAATGTACTGATTCATAAGATGACCCTCACCTCTTTTGATACGCCTATAAATTCCTTTCTTATGCCCTAGTAGATATTTGAGCCTATTATTCATCCATTTTGGGTCATTTCTATTTAATCTAATTTCTTTATATGGGATAAACGTTCTTTGAGCAGCATGTATAGTGTTCAGAAAACTGTCATATTGATAGCTCTCTTCGTTACCCCAGTCAACAGATGATAAGTGTTCTCTAAGCCCATCGTAATCTGCTAAGCGAAAATCTGGGACTGTTACTGAGTTATCGCTACTATCGTACTTCCATTCAATGCTAAATGTAATTGATTTGTGGTCGCTAGCACCCAGTTCCTCTGAAATTTCTAAATTATTAACAAGGGATTCATTGTTTGCCATAACTAAGTCAAGCAGGTTATTTCCCCTTGTAGGTTCTGTCACAAACTGCTTCAAAAAACAATCCTGAACTACTTCTAAGAAGTCGTATGATTCTAAATTCCCAGTCAAGAAATTCCAATCAATATGACTAAAGTTAAAGTCTCCTAGAATTACTACATTATCGTGCCTTGTGGCCTTAGCAATTTCCTCCCATAGTAGTATCCCTTGGTCCCTATCTAAGTTTGGGGGACGGTATATCACTCCTAAAATCAGTTTTTCATGCCCCTCTGAAAATTCTATCCAAACAGACTCTGTATGTGTTACTTCAGACTTAATACCCGTTTTATGCAACAGTTCAAGCGATCTCGGACATACAATGCCACCCCACCCCCCTTCCCGATACTTCTATCTACTTGGAACAATTTAAAACCCTGAATATGACATTCCGCAGGCATGTCCCGACTTTTTGAATTAAACCACGTCTCAGTTAAGGCAAACACATCAATGTTACCGGCACTATCAACTAATCTCAACTCGTCCATCTTATTCCTAGCACTACGGCAATTAGCATAATAAACATTGAAAGACTCTCCTTTCTCTTTACCCTTCCTGCTCATTTCTGTTTATCTACTAAACCTATTACTGTCCTTATCACCCAAAGTCACTGGCTTTTCAATATCTACCTCGTTCTGCTTATTACTAGTTCCCCTAGAACTCGTAAGTAAAACAAACTGTTTTATCTTCCTCAGAAGGTCCACTTCGGGTCAACGTAAGCGTCCTCCTCCTTAGTCTTTCCTCTCCTGATGAGTCCAGCCTGGTGAGTTTGCCAACGTTTTTGCTTTGTAAAATGAGTCGAACTTGATGAGTTAGTGTTTCTTTTATACGTTTTCCATGAGTGACCTCGAGTGTGGCGTTCTCAAGCTGATTTTCCGATATTTTAAGAAAGACTTTATTCATCGACGTTTAGCTTATGCCATATGTGTATTTATATAAAACAAAAAGTGGCATCATAATTTTGCATCGTGGCACCCATTCATCCTGGGATGAATGGGTGCCACGATGACTAAGATGCTGAGTGCACCTGAAAAAGTACCGTTTGAGTAGCTCGTCCATTTGCTTAATATATACATAAAAGAAAGAAAAAATACTATAATTATATATATATATATATATATATATATATATATATATATATATATATATATATATATATATATATATATATATATATATATATATATATACAATTATAGCATTTTAAAGTATTTAATGTGTTTGTGTGTGTATGTGTGTGTTTATTTATATGCTTGTGTGTGTTGTTTTGGGTTCTGTGCATTTGGTAGTGTGTCCCGTTTTATTCAAAGCGCAGAATAACCCTTCAGTCGCAGCGCTCGACAGATCTCACATCTCCCTTACATGAGTCGCGACCTAAGACTCACTGCCGCTGGTAAGCTTCGGGCTCTGACTGGCATCTCTTTTCCAGATCTACGAGGTGGAGTTGCTGCTGCACCAACACTGGTTCGATCCTCGTCTCCAGCACAATGACGCCGGACGCCACGAGTACCTCAGCGGCATGCACCACCTGGTCGGTCTCCCAGCCTCACCTGTGTCATGCACGCACACGTTACTCATCCATCAATGTGTCACTCATCTATTATTGTCACTCATCTGTCAGTGTCATTCATTTATTACTATGGCACATCAATGCATGAGTCACTGGTCAATATGGATGGTTTTTATACTCATCAACTGTACATTGCGACACGTGATTTGTCTGAATCATTTATGTCTTTAGTAATATTTTAGGAAATATATTTTAATACCGGAAAATAAATACACGTTTCCTAACATGATCTTATATTTTTTTGTCATACATTGTTATTAAGGCACTGTATATATTATTAGAAATTAAAGACAGTTACTGGTAAGCAGTTAAAAAAAAGAATAAGAAATTAGTTCATTTTCTGGAGTTACTGAATTTTCAATTAACAGAACACATCAACGGTTGTTCTTAACGCATATTATATATTAATATATAATATATATATATATATATATATATATATATATATATATATATATATATATATATATATATATATATATATATATATATATGATTACAAATTTTTTCCATGGATGATTCTTCTAGTAATAGTCGGTGCTGCATATGATTTATTATTGGTAGTTCTCTAATATGAGAATAATAACTACACTGTATTGTTTACTTCTGAGGTAACTCTGTTCACTGTGTTAATTAATGTTATTTAATGATAACATTAATGAGATGGTTCGGACATGTAGATTATTATTATTATAATCAAGGGGGAAGCGCTAAACTCGGAGGTTTATACAGCGCCTGGGGGGGGGGATGTGGAAGGCATTCAGGCTTAATTCGGGGAACTGGAGCACAGATCCAATTCCCTAAATCAAGAGCCCCTCACAAACATCAAGGAACCTTCCTTGAGGGGTTGGATATGTAGAGAGAATGGAACAAAACAGAATGACTTCGAGAGTGTATAAATCTGTAGTGGAGGGAAGGGGGGGTAGGGGTCGGCCTAGGAAGGGTTGGAGGGAGGGGGTAAAGGAGGTTTTGTGTGCGAGGGGCTTGGACTTCCAGTAAGCGTCCATGAGCGTATTTGATAGAAGTGAATGGAGACAAATGGATTTAATGATTGACGTGCTGTTGGAGTGTGAGCAAAGTAACATTTATGAAGGGGTTCAGGGAAACCGGCAGGCCGGACTTGAGTCCTGGAGATGGGAAGTACAGTGCCTGCACTCTGAAGGAGGGGTGTTAATGTTGCAGTTTAAAAACTGTAGTGTAAAGCACCCTTCTGGCAAGACAGTGATGGAGTGAATGATGGTGAAAGTTTTTCTTTTTCGGGCCACCCTGCCTTGGTGGGAATCGGCCGATATGTTAATAAATAAATTAATGTATGTTTGTAGCAATGTTAATGACGATGTTGCCAAGTGCAATTAAGTTTATTTGTACTGACACAGATGTTTGTAATTTATATTTTAAATATATCTTGTGGGAGACAAGACAGAGCAGCTTCTGTTCTGCAAAACTTTATTTTTTTTTATTTTTCATTCCAGCTCGTTTGTTCCCTTCCACCACTCAGTTTACGTCTCTTATCTGGAATTAGCTTCCTTTTTATATAACATCTTTTGACACGTTATATTATCTTTCATAAAATTTTGTAAAGCAGCCAGAGAGATATACTTCAGAATGCTATTTATTCTTTTGTGTTGCACAACTTCATCTAACACCGTAATGTAACTCAGTGTTATATTTCAGAAGGATATTTGGCTGCCAGACACATACTTCATCATGCGAGGAGAGTTCAAACATGATCTGTCTCAAGACAACATCGCACTCAAGATCTACCGTGGTGGTAAAGTTAGCTACACAATTAGGTGAGAGTCAGTGTGCTAACCTGCACTTTCTGAAACCGTTCTTTGTTTATCTTGCATCAACTCATGTAAATTTTATATTAAAGAAAACAAGGCTTAAAATGGTTGAATGAATATCGAAGTCGTTTGACCTCTGCTTATTTGTCCTACCGTAAATGTCGGGCTTTACAGAGTTTGTAGTCACGTGACTCGATCAGCTGTCCGATGTTGACACCAAAACACGCCATTGTTTTTTGATATTTATTTGATTTAATTATTTTCCATGGGAGAACTGCTAAACCCCTAGGGGCCATACAGAGCCTTGGTGAATGGAAGGCAGTCGGAGTCGATTTAAGGAAAGGCAGAGTAGCTTCAGTTCTCTGGATCAAGAGACCATCACCTTCGTCATGGAATCTTACTGATGAAGTTTTTCTTTCAATAGTCATCGGGTGTAATTAAGGTTACAAAGTCTGAACTTAAGAGCGTTCAACCATACACACGTCATTAATATATGCACAAATATGCAGTCATTATTACGTAGTGTAGCAACAAACAAACCGAGGACGAAATATTAGGGACTGACTGGCCTGGAGTATATTATACAATATACAAGCTTCTCTGAAAGTATTCATGTGGTTAATATCTCTCTAACTTTGGACCTATAATTTACCTCACATTATTCTTCAGGCAAGTTTAAGATGCGGCTTATGAAGCTTTATTATTGGTCCTTGTCTGTCTCTATGTTTGAAATATATACTTAAGTATTGACGTATATTTATTGTTTCATTAAATATTGTGTACATACGCTTGATTAACAAACTTTTACACAAACTATATTTATAAGAGTATTTGTATTTATTTGAAGTCGTCCACAGTGTTAGTTAAAAGAAAACATTACAAATTGGGGATATATATATATATATATATATATATATATATAATATATATATATATATATAAAATATATATATATATTATATATATATATATATATATATAATATATATATATATATATATATATATATATATATATATATATATTTGCAATAATCGCAAACAAGCGATAAAAGATGCAGGGAGAGATGAATGATAGTTCTAGGCCTTTTGTGTTGCAATCAACGTATCATAGGGAACTTGGTGTTGGAAGTCCAGGCACATTCGTTCAGGGGAACGACTTTCTCTCTGCAACATTGGAAGCGCCTGATGATGTGCTGGTTGCAACACGAAAGACCCAGTTTTATCATTCAAATCTCCCAGTGGTTATTTTGCATCTTTTATCGCTCGTTCGCGATTTTTGCGAACTATCAGATGTTTTAATCTGCAGAAGACTTGTAACTTGGCAATATCTACCTTCTCACTTGACCTGGTATTGATATCTCTTATCGTCTTCGGCTGTTGTGAGTCTTGGTGTTTGTCCCAAAACGTCGTCTAAAAATTTACCTCTAACTTGCAGTCTAATTGTGAAATTTTCTAGCAACATTGTTGTGAAATTTATACACAAATAACCCGCACATAGAAGAGAGGAGCTTACGACGACGTTTCGTTCCTCTCTCTTATGTGCAGGCTATTTGTGTTTCGTTCCAGTCACGGTATTGTGCCTTTTTTTGTTATTTGTGAAATTTATCCTTGATGCTATTATTTTCTCCACAGGAGATACCTCATACTATCATGCGAGGGCAATCTCAACAAGTTCCCGTTTGACGATCCCTTCTGCACCTTCTCCATGGAGAGTAGTGAGTGTATTTGTCTCTTTTTCCTTCTCTATCTTATTTGCGTACTTCCTTTATCATTATTACGAAGATTTTTTTTTTCAGTGTAATTTGGAGGCGTCACAGTTATCAATATTATATATATATATATATATATATATATATATATATATATACATATATATATATATATATAAATATATATATATAAATATATATATATATATATATATATATATATATATATATATATATATATATATATATATATATATATATATATATATATATATATATATATATATATATATATATATATATATATATATATATATATATACAGAGAGAGAGAGAGAGAGAGAGAGAGAGAGAGAGAGAGAGAGAGAGAGAGAGAGAGAGAAATCCTTCAGATTTGGAATACTGCTTATGTTCTGTCAGTCTCACCAGAGGCGCGGAGACATGACCATTCAACTGACCATCAGAACTGTTCCATGCACAGACCCTCTTTCAGAGTGCAAACACTGCACTTCTCACCTCAAAGACCCTAGTCAGGCTAATCTGTTTCCCTGAATCACTTCCTAATGGTTATCTTACACTCTATCAACACGACAAGCAATATTTTCCACTTCCCCCGTAAAACTCGCCTAGTGTCACTTGTTTTCCATTACAGCTCACTTAGTGTCACATCTGTCACATCTTATCTAGGATAACTCACGTATTGTAACATCTGACCAATATAACTTATCATCTCTTTCCGTCATGTCTTGCCCTTATGTTATCTCTCTCCACTAGTATACTGGCATAGAGTCGTTTGTGTTGCTTTCTAGCGCAAGTAAATAACATTTCAATGGCTAAATTTAAAGATATAATGTAGTATCAGCACCACACTGAACGTATACCTGAAATGACATTAACTTCAAGAATTGTACAGGCCTGTACAGACACAGAAATTCAATTAATATTTTAGCATTTTCTTTTTTAGAGGAAAATGTCAGTTAACTTATAAAGCACAAATATTTTTACACTGGGTCGTTGCTAGCCAAAAATAAAATGAGATACTACTAATGTATGTACATGAGATAAAATAATAATGTTATAGCTTTAAATCATGGCTTGTGTAAGTTGATTACCTGTGTATTCTTGCAGTATCGTACGAGGAACGGGAACTGACATATTACTGGCTCAACAGCACCGGATCCGACAACGGCAAGTCTCTAGCGAAGTCCAGCAAACTGAGTGCTCTTAATGCTTATATGATTATGAACAGGACGCTGGTGTGCAACGACACTTTCTTCTGGAGAGGTAAGAGCCTGGTAGAGCCTAGGTGGACGACCTTTGTGACTGTAATACTGTTAGGTAGGTCTGAGGCGTATCCTTGGAGGGAGGGTTGGAGAGCGAGGATTGGTGGTAAGTGGAGGGGAATATATGTAGGTGCATGGGATACATGCAGGTAGGTGGGATATTTGTAGGTAGGTAGGATACTTGTGGTAAATGGGTTGGGATAATTGTAGATATCGGATATTAGCAACATACAAGCTTACGGCTTGTTTGAACGATAATGGGTGGGTAGGATCTTGAGCAAATAGCTTAGAAGCCAAAAGTAGATCAAGAGTGGATGAAATTTAGTAGAGCAAGGTAAAGATGAGTGTTTTACCTGCTGTGTATAGCAGGTTGCTCCAGCAGTAAGTTGCGGGTGACGGTGACAGTCGTTAGAGGATTCATAACAGCAACTGCTAGGTGAAGCACTAGGTAATAGGAATATCAGCAATAGCTGGTATGACTGAGTAAATATGAGAATGTACATGGCTCCTGATGTGGGCAAGAAGTGAATCTGGAAGAAGTGGGGATAAACTAATCCAAGATGCG